CTGCTTTTAAGTGGTTCAGAGAACTTGGAACCAAATCAGCCTGCATACCCTACCGACGATTGAATTACCCAAATGGCTAGGTATACGACAGTCTTGACAAGGACATGTGTCCTTGGGAATGAGTTAACTTATATAAGGCTGTTTCATCTCCCCCAAGTTAGGAAGCAAAATATCTTTTTTCTATCAAGAGGTCTAGGTTCCCTTTCTTAAATCACCTCACAATCACACTGTCATACACCTGTTCTCGTAATTTCAATCAGCTTTTTTAACTCTCGACTTCTACATCAGGAACAATCTCTGAGAGTCGCAGATCTCTATACAATCTTGTTGGCCATCTGCCAAATAGGTATAATTAATGTTTAAAAACAAGAAAGGAAAGCTAACTTCGGGCGGAGCCGAAGTTGAAATACCCTTGCAGAATATTCTGCAAATTATATTCTTTAAAACTATTCATATGATGCATTCTTAATACTTATAAAAATCCCACCTTCCTAACTTTAAAAACACCAAAGTTATGGCATTTCCAATCGTTCAGTTATATGGCAGTTACAGGATATAGTCGGCCGATCTATATGAAATTTGGTAGGTCGGATTAATTGGCCAAAAATAAAACCCATAGGAAATCCCAACTTTCTAACTTAACAAACACCAAAGTTATGGCATTTCCGATCAATCAGTTATATAGCAGCTATAGGATATAGTCGGCCGATCCTTATGAAATTTGGTACGTCGGATTGATTGGTCAAATATAAAACCCATAAAAGTCCCAACTTCCTAACTTAACAAACACCAGAGTTATGGCATTTCCGATCAATCAGTTATATGGCAGCTATAGGATATAGTCGGCCGATCCCGGCCGTTCCGACTTATATACTGCGTGCAAAGGAAAGAAGGGTGTGTGCAAAGTTTCAATTCGATATCTTTAAAACTGAGAGACTAGTTCGCGTAGAAACAGACAGACGGACAGACAGACGGACAGACGGACAGACGGACAGACGGACAGACGGACAGACGGACAGACGGACAGACGGACATGGCTATATCAACTCAGGAGGTGATCCTGATCAAGAATATATATACTTTATAGGGTCGGAGGTGTCTCCTTCACTGCGTTGCACACTTTTGACCAAAATTATAATACCCTCTGCAAGGGTATAATAAAGAAGCTATGTCGGGGTTATTGTTTCATCATCTATTCGATTGCGTCTATTGAGAAAAACTAAATATCCTCTGCAAGGATATACAAAATACATTTGAATTTAATTAAAATATTTAATTCTTACTAGCTAGATCAAAAAAATAATTTGATCTCCAAGACCATCTTTGCTAATATTTATGCAGCGTTCTTTTTGTAGGCTCTTAGGTAAGATTAAGAAGCACACCGCATATTTACAACACAATTTTACAAATTTCTTTTTATTTCCATATCAGCTGCTTACTAGGCCAATCAAGTTAAATATTTCATTCTAATGACCCATTTTCTTTATTTGTATCAAATTTAGTTAATTTAAATACCTCTACGTCAACATTCCAATGTAGATGTCAGAGTGGGCGAAGCGAGAAGCGATTTAATAGCGTTAGGCTGATGTCAACATCGCCATTCGCCCACTACTGACATCAGCCTAATAGATATAGAAACTCTTGAACGTCTAATACACAAATACATAAAATGAATTAACTACGCAAATAAGACTCACAAAAACACTGTACATTTATTTACAAAAACCAAGGACAAAATTAAATCGAAAAACAAGAAAGGAAAGCTAACTTCGGGCGGAGCCGAAGTTGAAATACCCTTGCAGAATATTCTGCAAATTATATTCTCCAAAATTATTCATATGATGCATTCTTAATACTCATAAAAAATCCCAACTTCCTAACTTTAAAAACACCAAAGTAATGGCATTTCCAATCGTTCAGTTATATGACAGCTATAGAATATAGTCGGCCGATCCTTATGAAATTTGATATGTCGGATTGATTGGGCAAAAATAAAACCCATAGAAAGTCCCAACTTCCTAACTTAACAAACACCAAAGTTATGGCATTCCCGATCAATCAGTTATATGGCAGCTATAAGATATAGTCGGCCAATCCTTATGAAATTTGGTAGGTCGGATTAATTGGCCAAATATAAAACCCATAGAAAATCCCAACTTTCTAACTTTACAAACACCAAAGTTATGGCATTTCCGATCAATCAGTTATATAGCAGCTATAGGATATAGTCGGCCGATCCTTATGAAATTTGGTACGTCGTATTGATTGGCCAAATATAAAACCCATAGAAAGTCCCAACTTCCTAACTTAACAAACAGCAGAGTTATGGCATTTCCGATTAATCAGTTAAATGGCAGCTATAGGTTATAGTCGGCCGATCCCGGCCGTTCCGACTTATATACTGCGTGCAAAGGAAAGAAGGGTGTGTGCAAAGTTTGAATTCGATATCTTTAAAACTGAGAGACTAGTTCGCGTAGAAACAGACAGACGGACAGACAGACGGACAGACGGACAGACGGACATGGCTATATCAACTCAAGAGGTGATCCTGATCAAGAATATATATACTTTATAGGGTCGGAGATGTCTCCTTCACTGCGTTGCACACTTTTGACCAAAATTATAATACCCTCTGCAAGGGTATAACAAGAAAGGAAAGCTAACTTCGGACGGAGCCGAAGTTGATATACCTTTGCAGAATATTCTGTAAATTATATTCTTCAAAATTATTCATTTGATGCATTCTTAATACTCAAAAAGTCCCAATTTCCTAATTTTAAAAACACCAAAGTTATGGCATTTCCAATCGTTCAGTTATATGGCAGTGTTGAGCGCAGCGGCAAACCACTCCAACTAAATAGAGAGTCAGAATCACTCATTTCTAAGCGGCTCCTCTTATCTCTCTATAATTGGACTAGTCAGTCTGAGCCCGCCTCTCAACGCCTACGGTCCGTCGCCAGCGCATAAATTTGTTGTTGTTGATAAGCAAGCTGCGGTGTTCGCAAAGCCCGTAGCCCTTGCATACATTTATAACGTTAATAAACTGAAATATTGAATTTATCTCGCCTTGTGATTTGTTTTAAAAATAGCTGACAAAAAGGCTTGTTAGCTCAACATTTGGAGGCCCCGGCGAGATTCGTAAATTCAAGTCTGTGGAAATTCGTTTGTGCAAAAGAAACAGTGCACAAAGAAGACAAAAAACAACTGTTACATTAGGCTGGTTCCGCTTTAAGCTGGTCCTAATAAATTTTCTGCCTCGCCAACTGGTGACTGTACTTTCTTGCCGTTACAAAAACAAAGACTTCTGACAATTGTAACTGTAAACTCCCGAGTTGTGCAGTGCGTTTCGGTTTGCTTTATACAAATACATACGCACAGATGAGTTCAGACGAAGGCAGCACAGTGGCAGACCATAATATTATGACGGCTGAAACTAAAGGGCGGTTCTTGAAGTGCAAGGCCGAATCGGTGTACAATAGCTTAAAGCGCATGGATATTTCGCTAGCTAAAGACGCGATTTGCCTGTTTGGGTCCGCGGAGTTGACAGTTCGGCTAGAACTTCTTGAGCATACTCAAGCCTCATTCAGGCTTGCCCACAATGCGCTGGAGGAGCTAGACTATTCGGAAATCGGCAGTGAGCTTAGCGACAATTTTGAAATGCTCATGGTATCGGTCAAGTCACGGCTAAGACAGCAACTTGACAACTGTCAGCTTCGAATGCCAACATCTTCCACTATGCACCTTGATCCCAACCTGGATCAGTCAACTGTCATGGTTGATCGAGGGCATAGGACTCGCCTGCCCGAAGTAAAACTGCCTACATTCTCTAGTGGATACACCGAATACTCAGATTTCCTCTCCATGTTTATCTCGGTGATAGATAAGGACCCCTACTTGGCTGACATAGAAAAGCTTCAACATTTGCGGTCATGCTTAGCTGGAGCTGCGCTGGAATCGGTTCGATCATTAGAAATATCTGGTGCCAATTATCGTGTGGCACTAGAAATCCTAAATAAACGTTTTAATAATAAACGTCTTGTTTTCCAGGCACACATCAATGAAATTCTTGGGCTCAAGAGGCTCGAGTCTGCGTCTGCTGTGGCATTGCGGGATTTTTCGGACAAAATTATTGGGCATATGCGAGCGCTTCAGGCCTTGGGAGATTTAAAACAAATCTCAGGCTGCATGGTTGTATACATGATAGTGCAAAAATTGGATGCAGCAACCCAAGCCAACTGGGAGGAAAGTTTGTCAACGGATATGATTCCAAGCGAGGAGGATTTGCTCTCGTACCTTGAAGGGCGATGCCAGAAACTGGAGAGCGTTCAGCATGCCTTGGCTTCCAACATGGCCCATGACCATTCAGCTCCAAGGCCTGCCAGAAGGACGTTACTTGGTGCCCAGGTCAGCCAGAGTAGCTGCGTTTTTTGTGATACTCCTGGTCATGGAATATACTCCTGTAGCTCCTTCGCCGGTCTGTCTCCTAGTCTACGGCAAAGGGAAATAAAAAGACTTTCCTTGTGCTTCAATTGCCTAAAGAAGGGGCACCACACTCGAACGTGCAACTCCGGCCATTGCCGCACATGCGGTGGAAAACACCACACGCTGCTCCATCTACGCCCTGATGATTCACCACCCTCGCAGCCATCTGCCTCGCTTGCGGCCCAAGGATTTCATTCTGATGTTGTGCTTTTGGCCACCGCTATAGTTCTTGTAAAGAACAGAGCTGGTTCCCCGGTACCTTGCCGAGTCCTACTGGATTCTGGATCTCAACTACACCTAATTACATCTCGCTTCGCCCAGGAGTTGCAGTTAAGGAAATCTCGGTCAGCAGCAACGGTAACTGGTCTTGGTGATACAGCTGTTTCTTCAGAAGGATCTACAGTCAGCATCTCCTCCAGTCGCGTTCTTCTGAATACTCTGTGGCTCTAACGGCACTGGTCGTGCCAACGATTACAGACAGTCAGCCTAGTTACATCATTGATATCGCTGATTGGAATATGCCATCTAACATACAGTTGGCTGACCCTGCATTCAACTGTCCCCAGCGCGTTGACCTGCTTCTTGGTGCCGGCCTATTTTATGACCTGTTATGCGTGGGCCAAATTAAGCTGGTTCATGGATTGCCTCTACTGCAGAAGACTCGCCTTGGCTGGATCGTGACTGGTGGTGGAGATAGACTTCGCGGCAATACATCTCTTTTAGCATCTCAAGGCTTGGAAAATGGAGCTACACTACATAATGTCCGCTTGGAGGATCTGGTTAGGCGATTTTGGGAAGTCGAAAATTTGGACAGTGGAGTCATAATGGCCAGCAAGGAAGAGCTGGAGTGTGAGGATCATTTTATCAAAAACTTCCATCGTCTTCCCTCTGGCGCTTACTCTGTTCGCCTGCCGTTGAAGCACCATGCTAAAGCCCTTGGCGATTCCTACACACAGGCACACCGAAGATTTCTTAATCTTGAACGCAAACTGCAAAGGAATCCCCATTTAAAGCGTCAATATGTGGCCTTTATTAAGGAATACTTGGAGCTAAACCACATGTCCAGAGTCAGCCCCGAGGCTGTGGGTCTTTGCAAGTATTTCCTGCCGCACCATTGTGTTCTAAAGGAGGATAGCACAACAACCAAGCTTCGCGTTGTCTTCGATGGATCGGCGTTAGCCTCATCCGGGTCGTCTCTTAATGATGTCCTTATGGCTGGGCCCGTTATACAGCCAAGGCTGTTTAACATTTTGATAAAATTTCGTACTTATCAGGTGGCCCTGACTGGAGACATTTGCAAGATGTATCGGTGCGTAAGGGTGAGTGAACCCGATAACTACTTGCAATGCATTTTATGGCGAGACGAACCGGACAAAGAGCTCGAAGTTTACAAACTGGATACAGTGACCTACGGAACCAAGCCTGCCTCATTCCTTTCTGTTCGTGCAATGCACCAGCTGGCCATTGATGAGAGGGATTCCTTCCCTGCTGGCTCAGTTGCTCTGCAACAAGATTTCTATGTCGATGATTTCATCTCCGGTGGAAGCTCTGTTGCTGAGGCTATTGAGAAAATGCGACAGACCACTGAGATACTTGCTCGAGGTGACTTCAAGTTACGAAAGTGGTGCACCAGCCACCACGAGGTCTTAAAGGATGTGTCAGATGATGACAAGGAGAAGTATTTGAAGTTCGACGATGGCAGCGATATAACCAAAACTCTTGGTCTTGCATGGGATCCGGCAACAGACGAGCTGCTGTTCTCTTTATCGTCTCTAGATCCCGGCTCCAAGGCCTGCCGACGATCTGTTCTGGCCACCGTTGCTCGTTTCTATGACCCGCTAGGCCTTCTTGGTCCAGTAATCACAAAGGCCAAGGTGTTTCTTCAACAACTCTGCAAGGACAAATTGGATTGGGATGAAAGTTTGCCCTTAGATCGTAACACCTGCTGGATTGAAATGTGCATCAGTTTTCAGAGCGTTCAACGCATATCATTTCCAAGATTTTTGCTTCTTTCAGAAACTGATGTTGAAATTCATGGTTTCTGCGATGCCAGCGAGGAAGCTTACGGAGCTTGCATATATGTGCTGTCTAGGGGCACTTCTCCAGCCAGCAGCCATCTCTTATGTTCCAAATCCCGAGTAGCGCCTCTCAAAACGATATCTGTACCTAAGCTGGAGTTATGTGGCGCCCTGCTACTAGCCAAGCTGATGAATGAAGTTATGAAAATGGATATGTTCAATGGTCCTTTTCACTGCTGGTGTGATTCCTCTGTGGCGCTATCCTGGATCGGTAATGAGCCTTTCAAATTCAACGTCTTCGTGGCAAACCGAGTGGCTTCTATACAGGAATTGACTACTAATATGGAATGGCATCATATTCCGACTACACTGAATCCTGCCGACATTTTGTCCAGGGGTCTACTCCGGATTTACTGGCGCTTTCTGAGATCTGGTTTCATGGCCCACCATTTTTACTTGGTGGTCGCAAGGATTGGCCTACGCGTCTGCATTATGGCGATCCGAGCCTTGAGTTACGTAAACAGGTGCTGATGGTCAAGTCACCTCACGTTGATGTTACCCTTAGATCCAAGTATGGCAACTCGTTCCCTTCCATGCAGCGCGTGTTCGCATACATTTACAAATTTTCTCACCGCTTGTGGCATCGTGGTCTCGAAATATCTGATGTGCAACGTGGGACATATATGCTCTGGCGAGGCGTCCAATTGGCTCATTTATGGGAGGACATAAAGGAGCTTCGTTCAAATAGCATTGTTAAAAAATCAAGTTCTATTGCTTCGCTCTTGCCCTTCATAGATGCATGTGGCCTTCTTCGAGTTGGTGGACGCCTCGAAAATTCAACACTTGCGTATGAGGCTCGCCATCCCATAATAGTGCCACGTCGTCACCCACTCACCTTAGCGCTCATCATGCACTTCCATAAGATGAACCTGCATGCAGGACCGCGCGCTCTGTTGGCAAGCATCCGACTACAATACTGGCCTATTGGAGGACTGCGAACGGTCTCAAATGTACTGAAAGGCTGTGTGGAGTGCTTCCGGGCCAGGCCCAAATTTCTGGAACCAATCATGGCTAATCTTCCGAAGGAACGTTTGGAGTGCGTACGGGCCTTTGCTGTTTCTGGCGTCGACTATTGTGGACCTTTCCTTTACAAATCAGAAGTTCGCACCAGGTCTCCCATCAAGTGCTACGTATGCGTGTTCATCTGCTTTACAAGCAAGGCTGTGCACTTAGAGCTTGTCAAGGATCTAACAACTGCGTCGTTTTTAAGTGCTTTGAAGAGATTCATTTCTACACGTGGAAAGCCTAGTCAAATTTGGTCGGACAATGCTACCAACTTTGTAGGAGCCAAAAATGAGTTGGCGGATTTGAAGCGGCTGCTGCTTAGCGATTCTCATATGCAGTCTGTTCATCAAGCTTGCTTGGCTGAGGGAATCGACTGGCAATTTATTCCGCCTCGCTCACCACACTTTGGCGGATTGTGGGAGGCAGCAGTCAAGACGGCCAAACACCATTTCTACCGCTCTGTTGGCCGCCAAACGCTTAGTTTTGATGAGCTTCGCACTTTGGTTTGTCAGATTGCGTCAATCATTAATTCTCGCCCCTTGCTATCCGTTTCAGAGAATCCAGATGATCTTGATGTTTTGACTCCTGCCCACCTACTTTTTGGTGGCCCTTCCACTACTATCATTGAGCCCGATCTAACCAAGCTTAACTATAACCGCTTGGATGGTTGGCAGCGTGTAACATATCTGCAGCAACTATTCTGGTCCCGATGGCAGAAGGAGTATCTTACCCTTCTGCAACAACGCACCAAATGGCGGTCTCCTGAACGAATGCTGAAGGTCAACGACGTAGTTTTGATAAAGGATGAAAATCTACCTCCCATGCGGTGGCCCTTAGCTAGGGTGACCGCACTTATTCCTGGACGAGATGGTGTTTGCCGAGTTGCTGATCTGAAAACGTCCACGTGTGACATCAGGAGAGCTGTTAATAAGTTGTGCCTGCTGCCCACCAATGATGAAGTTGAAAGACAGGCTTCCAACGGGGGAGTATGTTGAGCGCAGCGGCAAACCACTCCAACTAAATAGAGAGTCAGAATCACTCATTTCTAAGCGGCTCCTCTTATCTCTCTATAATTGGACTAGTCAGTCTGAGCCCGCCTCTCAACGCCTACGGTCCGTCGCCAGCGCATAAATTTGTTGTTGTTGATAAGCAAGCTGCGGTGTTCGCAAAGCCCGTAGCCCTTGCATACATTTATAACGTTAATAAACTGAAATATTGAATTTATCTCGCCTTGTGATTTGTTTTAAAAATAGCTGACAAAAAGGCTTGTTAGCTCAACAGGCAGCTATATGATATAGTCGGCCGATCATTATGAAATTTGGTATGTCGGATTGATTGACCAAAAATAAAACCCATAGAAAATAATAACTTCCTAACTTTAAAAACACCAAAGTTATGGCTTTTCCGATCGTTCAGTTATATGGCAGCTATATGATATAGTCGCCCGATCCGGCTCGTTCCGACTTATATACTACCTGCAATAGAAAGACAAGACTTCTTAACTTTACAAACACCAAAGTTATGGCACTTCCGATCAATCAGTTATATGGCGGCTATAGGATATAGTCGTCCGAACCTTATGAAGTTCGGTAGGTCGGATTAATTGGCCAAAAATAAAGCTCATAGAAAATAATAACTTCCTAACTTTAAAAACACCAAAGTTATGGCTTTTCCGATCGTTCAGTTATATGGCAGCTATATGATATAGTCGCCCGATCCGGCTCGTTCCGACTTATATACTACCTGCAATAGAAAGACAACTTTTGGGAAAGTTTCAAGCGGATAGCTTTAAAACTGTGGGATTAGTTTGCGTAGAAACGGACGGACGGACAAACGGACGGACAGACGGACAGACGGACGTACAGACGGACAGACGGACATGGCTAGATCGACTCTCGTGGTGATCAAGAATATATATACTTTATAGGGTCGGAAATGTCTCCTTCACTGCGTTGCAAACTTTTGACTGAAATTATAATACCCTCTGCAAGGGTATAACAAATGAACGAAAGAATATGAATAAACGAAAGAAATATATACTCCACGCCACAGTACTTAACATAATCACAGCTTATCTGGACATCACGAAATCTTGAGCCAAGATAATTGATAAAAAAAACTTTAGAAAACCTTTTGTTTTTAAACCGCGAGTATTAAGAAAAGTAGACGTTCTTGATCAGCAATACAAGGCGAATCGAAATAGATATATCAATATAGCTATCGTAGTATATGCTTTATGTTTTAGAACAAAGACTACTATCGTAGTATATGCTTTATGTTTTAGAACAAAGATAAAGCATATACTACGGTAGTTGTACGGTAGTAAGATTTTACGATTTTTAATTGGACTTAGTTTTATTAAAATCGTACGCATATGTACATTATATATAGGATCTGAAAATTAAAAGGAAACATGAAATAAATCCATAAATCTTTCTTTTCAAAAAAAGATATGCATAATATAATTTTGTACAATTTCAACCATACTGAGCTAATGTGAACTATTTACAAAATTCTCTGTCAAAGTTCAAAATTTAATGGAGAGTAGAAACTAAAAGTCGACAGGTCATTGGCCAAAAGTATTGGCGCTGTAAATTTACTATAATTTTAGGGCTTTCCCCTTTCTTGCTGACTTACTTTGTGAAAGATATTCAACTTAATATTCATTAGATCTTGCAAACTTGGCAAAGAGTAGTACTCTTAGTAATGCGGGTCGCTGCTCGCTCACAGCTTGTGGTGTTGGTACTGCAGTTCACCAGATACACTCGACTAAAGGGTCTGCAACAGCGCATAAAGATTTGTGCAGCTGGACTAAATGAATAAAAAATCATATTATGTGAACAGAGCTGTAGTAGAAATAACTTCAAAAGCAAAGAAAAGAAAATTACTTAGGGACATTCCCTTGATCGGTAATTCGCAATATGATTAAACATTAAACAAGAAAGGAAAGCTAACTTCGGGCGGAGCCGAAGTTTATATACCCTTGCAGAATATTATGTACATTATATTTTCCAAAATTATTCATATGATGCATTCTTAATACTCATAAAAAATCCCAACTGCCTCACTTTAAAACAAGAGAGAACGCTATAGTCGGGTGCCCCGACTATCAGATACCCGTTACTCAGGTAAAGAGAGTGCGAGGGAGATGGAGATAGAAACTTTGATCACGCATAACTTTTTAACGAATGGTCCGATTTGAAAAATTTCTTCTACATTTCGATAGGTATTGATAAACACAATAAAACTGCACTACTACTACTACTTTTCCGAAATATTTAAATTTTTAAAATCGTATATAAGCGATTGTGGGCGTTAAAGGGGACGTGGCACCATTTTGAAACAAACTTGCGCTGCGTAGGAACTTCTAAAATCTACATGCAAAATGCCAGTCTTCTAGCTTTTATAGTTTCCGAGATCTCAGCGTTCATACGGACAGACGGACAGACAGACGGACAGACAGACGCACAGACAGACGGACAGACAGACGGACAGACAGACGGACAGACAGACGGACAGACAGACGGACAGACAGACGGACAGACAGACGGACAGACAGACGGACAGACAGACGGACAGACAGACGGACAGACAGACGGACAGACAGACGGACAGACAGACGGACAGACAGACGGACAGACAGACGGACAGACAGACGGACAGACAGAGGACAGACAGACGGACAGACAGACGGACAGACAGACGGACAGAGGACATGGCTAGATCGACTCGGCTAGTGATCCTGATCAAGAATATATATACTTTATAGGGTCGGAAACGCTTCCTTCTAGCTGTTACATACTTTTGCACGAATACAATATACCCTTTTACTCTACGAGTAACGGGTATAAACACCAAAGTTATGGCATTTCCAATCGTTCAAGTTTGTGGCAGCTATAGGATATAGTCGGCCGATCCTTATGAAATTTGGTAGGTCGGATTGATTGGACAAATATAAAACCCATAGAAAATTCCAACTTCCTAACTTAACAAACACAAAAGTTATGGCATTTCCGATCAATCCAAAGTCATAGGGCTCAACTAGTACGATATAGCTCGATCAGGATATGCTATTAAAGAATTGGATGTTTCATTTGTAAATACGAACTTAGCAAAATATGAAAATCAAATCAAGTTAGCCAAATTGGAGGTCTGAGTCAAACAATGGCGTATGTGGGTATGTATGTAAGCATATACATATGTATGTATTTACATTGTACACAGTTGCAATTGCCCGGCAAAGATAACTCCTTTCAAATAAAGCTATTCGCTATACCCGTTACTCGTGTGTGCAAACATTTAGACTTTAATATACATAATACTATTTAAGAATGTATGTGCTTAGCCAATATAAGTATGTATGTTTAATATTTCTAGTCAATTTATAAACATAAACAAAACAAAAACATAAACATAAACACAGCTGCTGGTGCAGGACAAAAGCTGCCTGCGCTAAAGCAGCGCTGGTGCTGATGCTCGTGCTGTAAAGCTGCCTGCTCTAAGAGATCGCCGAATTCGAATTGATAATTTGAACTTTTTGTCCTTTTTTCCTGTGGTCACTCTAATTCACATTATGTTAATGCAAAATCTAAATCAAAATCTTTTTATAGTATGTATATTCAATTAAACAAAATTTTTTTTTTATAAAAAAAAAAACGCAAAAACACCAAAAAAAACTAATTAGTATGGTGAAATAAGTATTAGTAGTATTAGTGGTAAGTACATAAGTATGCCTTCCGTATGTTACGGATAAACAAAATTTTGGGGAACATGGAGATTCCAACCTTGAATAAAGTTTGGCAACTCAAGTCGACTCTTAGGTCCCCAAATTTTATTTTGGTTTGAAAGACCCCGTTGCAAATCAACGGCCTCCACGTTGTGTTCCCTGGGTACCGATTTTAACATAAAAATCGGGAGCTAATTCGAGCGGCGAAAAACATACAAGACGGCATATTTATATTAAGTTGTTTAGCTGAGTAACGGGTATCTAATAGTCGAGGCACTCGACTATAGCGTTCTCTCTTGTTAAAGTTAGGAATTTGGGATTTTTTATGAGTATTAAGAATGCATCATATGAATAATTTTGGAGAATATAATTTACAGAATATTCTGCAAGGGTATATCAACTTCGGCTCCGCCCGAAGTTAGCTTTCCTTTCTTGTTAATAATCTTTTTACTGTTTAACAATTATTTAAGTCCGACATAGCTTGAGTAATAACGGAACAACCAAATAAATCGAGTTTGGCGACCTCTCATCCAATGGACCTTTAAGTTGTATGCAATGGACAACCCTCTAAACTACATATAAAATACTTGTGAGAAGTCTTAAACTCCCCACAAATCCCGATGCAGGAGATCGGCTTAGCAACAGCGAAGGAGGCGGGAATACAGGAGATATTAAGGGTTTCGGTGTAGCCGTCCCGATCTCAGTCACCTGGAGCAGCAAGCCGAAGCAACGAAGCAGCAAGCCAGGAACGACGCAACAGCAGCGAGGGGCGACGCAGCAGAGGACAGCGACAACGGGCAGCAAAACAGTAGCGATAAGGCTATATTTTGAGAAACAATAAACCAGCACCAACCTAATCCTTTCTGGCGTTATCCTTTGGTCACGGGCAGTCACTCTTTATAAATTTGGTGGAACGAACTCACAATCTCTCTGAGCTAGCCGCACGTTTAAGGAATCAGGTCGTTACATACTTCCTAACCGAAAAGTAAAACCAAATCATTCATTTTCTAATAAAAATAACATGCCGTTTTACTCTGTCTACTACTAACAACCGTGCAACCAACAAAAAAACAGAAACAACAAAAAACCCCATTGATACATTTCCATTTAGCTAAACGCACCTCAGTAGTTTAAAAAAGAAATGAAATGGAGGTAAAAGTGTGATTGTGATTATGTGCGATTTAAAAAGTTTCTCTATCTTTTATACAGCGCGAATAATCGACATACTATATAACCGTAAAGTCAGTATGACAGATTTATGGCAGAAATATAGTCAACCGATTTTGATGAAGTCACAAGGGATAAGTTGAGCTGAGCTGAGCTGAGCTTTTAAAGTGGGCTCGCAAGCGGTATAGAAACAGACGGTCAAATTGACATAGCTATATAAACTCGTCTTGTCATGTTGATAAATAATATATATACTTTATATGGTTGCAAGGGTATAAAAATGGCATTTTAAAATAAAACAAGAAAGGAACCAAACTTCGGCAGGCCGAAGTTTATATTCCCTTGCAGTTATTACAAATCGACCACATTTCGATTTCTATGCCTATATTACTAAAAACAATGGAGCTATGTCTATTTTGCGCTGCATTTTGCCATCGTTTTTATGGCAGCTATATTATATTGTTGTCCAATTTTAATTTAATTAAACCCGTTATTCTATAATATTTAAATATTACCAAATCTTAAAGAACAAAAAAAAAATAATTAAAAACAACAAAGTTATAATGTTTTTGGATTTCTTACCGATTGTTCCTATGGGAGCTTTATGATATAGTCGCCCGATCCGGCTCGTTCCGACTTATATAATACCTGTAATAGAAATACAACTTTTGAGAAAGTTTCAAGCAGATAGCATTAAAACTGAGGGACTAGTTTGCGTAGAAACGGACAGACGGACGTACAGACGGACATGGCTAGATCGACTCTCCTGGTGGTGCTGATCAAGAATATATATACTTAATAAGGTCGGGAATGTTTCCTTCACTGCGTTGGAAACTTTTGACTGAAATTATAATACCCACTGCAAGGGGATAAAAATAAGAAAAAAACAAAAACAAAATACATTAGAATAGTTATAGTTTTATTATAAACTTTTTAAGTCATTATTTATTGAATTTTTTTTGAACTTAATAATGATGATTTATTTATTTTTATTTATTTAAGACAGCGGGCCCTTTTTATACCCGTTACTCGTAGAGTAAAAGGGTATATTGTATTCGTGCAAAAGTATGTAACAGGTAGAAGGAAGCGTTTCCGACCCTATAAAGTAAATATATTCTTGTTCAGGATCACTAGCCGAGTCGATCTAGCCATGTCCGTCTGTCCGTCTGTCCGTCCCTATGAACGCTGAGATCTCGGAAACTATAAAAGCTAGAAGATTGGCATTTTGCATGCAGATTCTAGGAGTTCCTAGGCAGCGCAATTTTGTTTCAAAAAGGTGCCACGCCACAATCGCTTATATACGATTTTAAAAATTTAAATATTTCGGAAAAGTAAAAATGCAGTTTTATTGTGTTTATCAATACCTATCGAAATGTAGAAGAAGTTTTTCAAATCGGACCATTCGTTAAAAAGTTATGCGTGATCAAAGTTTCTATCTCCATCTCCCTCGCACTCCCTTTACCTGAGTAACGGGTATCTGGGGCACCCGACTATAGCGTTCTCTCTTGTTTATTCTTGTTGTGGTGCTTACTATTAAGCGTTAAATAACGTCAGTGCCCGGTGATGGTTAAAAAAAAATTCTAGTTCAACATTTTTAAAAATTCATTTATTGGAAAGATCAAATCTAAATACAAAAAAAAAAGGTGCCTGGTTTTTTGTGACGCATCTGCATACGTATGCTCTTGAACCTGGAAATATATTAAGACAATTATACTGGGGAGAAATAAAACATGTTCACATATTAAATTACTTGTTTTGTCTTCATACATTTTCGACACATAATTTTTGACGCCTTATTTTTTTTTAACTAGGCGTCGGAGGTAGCCAGTCCGTATTTTGACCAAATGTATGGGATGAGAATCGAAATGAGTACTGTGACACATGGACGAACCTGAACACGTACTCTCTGGCATCTAAAAATTGATCAAAGATAGATTTAATTAATCATTTTAACTATTGGAAGCTACAACTATTATGGAATTTTCGCTGAAACAACACGGTCACATTGACTTAAAAACGTTAACTTTTAACTTTGTATTTAACTTTTTCATTTCCGGTCGCGAATGTTACCATTGTTGTCTCGATATATATCCTATTTTATTCTATTGCTTTTCAGCTAAGATCCATTGATTGCAATATTTCTCATAAATAAATAATATAAGTTTTTTATTTGAACCTTAAAGTTAAGCGCACTTCAATTTTTTTGCAATCGATATAGGAGACGAGGAATGTTCCAATTGAATTTGACTCCGCATTTAATGATTAAATTTGTATTCATCTGGTAAACACAGATATGGTATCCCGGAATGGTATCCGGTAACCCAAGCTGTCCTCCACAAATTCGTGTGGTGTCTTAAATTTGCCATCCAGACCTACATCTTTTTCTTCTTTACTTCCAACTTCAATTTAATTTTAATAACACTGGTCGACAAAAGAAGCCTAAGACCACTACCCCAGTTCGAAATTCATACTACAAAAATTCATCACTGTTTAATCAGCACGGACTGCGACGCGGCAGAGCCAAAGGCAAAGTCGGCAGAGCCGGGTGCGACGCAGAGCCGAAACTCTAGTCCCCGATCGTAGGCAACGCAGAAAATTTCCATCTCCCTCTCTTACTCTGTCTCTCTCCCATAAAATGAGCTGAGAGGTGGAGGACAATGTATTAAAATCAGATCGACCTTTATACACCCTTGAAAATAAATGAGCATAATTTTGTATTGTAGTCGTTGATTCTTATTAATTATATTATTTTATGGAAATACTTTTAAAAATAAAATTATTATGATAGTTTTGAAAGGTATTGATTCCTTTTTAAGTGAATTAAAGTTATGTGATTATTTTGCATAGTCGGACATGGTTTTATATACCCTGCTTTGACGCGAAGCGAAACTGTAAAGACAAATTAGGCAGAGGAAAGAACAATAGGATTAACGGCGCCCTTGTTTTCAACTGAAGTTGTTTTCGCGGTTTTTACGTGCACTTGCATTTGAGAGAACGGAGAGAACAGATCGAAGCTGAGATTTTTTGTGAAATTTTATAACTAAATTTATCAGAAATTTATGTAAGTGTTATTTTATTAATTATTTTGAACTGTACATACATATACTGTTAATATATTTATTCATTATTTAAGGCGAAGCTTATAATAAAACTGTTGGGCCAGCATAAACTAAGCTGGACTTGGCCGGCGCAAAACAAAAAACGCAGTAAGTTTTTATTTTTTTAATAATTTTTCTATTTCAGATATACTTGGTCAGGAAGGGCCAGTACATAAACACGAAGTCAAAAAAGGGCACGGAAACCGAAACATCCTCAACACCTCCGGGACAACGAAAACGTACATATGTAGATTGAATTAAGTTAAATTAATTAGTTATATGTAATGAAATAAATGAAATAATAATGAAATATTGTAATAAAATAAAAAGAAATTTATATGAAAATTTACTGAATGAATTTTACTGATGAAAAAAAGCGATGAAAAACGATGAAAATGCGATGAAAAAGCGATGAAAATGCGATGAAAGAGCGAGAAAAGAAAAAAGATGAATTACTGATTAAAGAGTGATGAATTACTGATGAATTCATCACTCTTTAATCAGTAATTATCACTCGTTAATCACTATTTCTTCGCACTCGTTCATCGCATGTTCATCAGTAAACGCTGTTCAAAGAGTGATGAATTACTGATTAAAGATGATGAAAAACTGAAAAAAGTGATGAATTACTGATTAAAGAGTGATGAATTTTTCACTGATTAACTCCTAGGACATGCCAATGTTAAATTCATCACTAATTTGTATGAAGTTTCATCGCCGATTAATCAGCAGTGATGAATTTTTGGTGATGAAAAAGCGATTAAAAGGTGATGAACGGTACTGCAGGGTAACCATACAACATATAGACTGGTCATTTCATGCATTCTCATACAGGGATGCATGTGTGCGTTCATTTCATTTCGATGCAGCAAGAATATTTCGTCTCTTGCTACTTTTCAGACTTGGTACCCTAACAATATGGGCGTATTCATTATTGGTTTAATGATAAAAATAAGATGACGCCTAATATTATAGTATATTTTTTAATATTTCCGCATATATTTCAATTTGGTTTACAAATTGAAATCAGTGGTAGCAGAAAAATGTCTTGCATATATGTATGTATTCCAATTAGTATAAATCAATCTAATGAGATAGGAACAGGGCACATCGCAGTCGGTGTCTGCGCTTAGTGGTTGAGAAAACTTAAAACCAAATCAGCTTTGGTTGATGTTCTGCGAGCGGATGGTGCCTGCATACCCTATCGACGATTGAATTTTAGGGCGGACAGAGACAAGAACAGCGTTTTCGCCGCTCGACAAAAACATAGCATACCAAAATTATCCATTTTATAATGCTATCCTACCAATAACAAAATCGGATAAATAAACTTTTATAATGTTTTAGTTTTCGATTGAAATTTAAATATATAAAAATCATTAAAAATTTTTAGGACACTTGTTTTGAATTTTATGTTTAATGAGCTTTGGTTGATTTTTTTTTTGATTCGCAGGGTAATTTTGTTTAATGTTGTTATTTAATGATCTAGTTGTATATATTTTTATGTATGTGTCGGCGCACACTAAGAGTGTGTGGATTTTGGTATGAGTGTATGGGTATATTCTCGGGAATTTCATCAGAAGGCCTATTTCATCACTATTTGTAATATTGCATTAGCCTCTAATTGTGCTGTGTCATGTTGTCGCTTTAAGAAATTGCGTTTTAGCGGGGCGACGATCGTAGTGTCGCTGTCGCCGAGCGTGGTTCGGTGGTAAACACAGAAGAAAGAAGGAACGATGCAGTTAGTTGCATTTTAGGACTTGAGGTGTGCGAAACCGAAACTCGCTGCGCTACTACGATGTCGGACGAGAATAACCCTGCTGCAACATCAGAAGTGGGATCTGGCCCTCTACCTACAACAATGGAGGGACAATGGCGTGCCATCTTAGAGTTGCAAAATGCAAAATTTGATCAATCTTGTGCGAGCTATTCAAACAACAGAACCTGATGCAGTGCGGAGTAAATCGTTGCAACTACCCAAATTCAACCCAGACAAGGCAGGTCCCATCGCTTCATCGTGGTGTTCAAGAAAATACATTGAAGGGCAGTGCGTTGGTTGTGGCTGTGCAGCATTGGAGGGTAGCGCTTCGCAATGGCTGTCCCAAGTGTGCTATGCTGATATAACCTGGCTCGAGTTCAAGGAATTGTTCATACAACGCTTTGATACTTTAGAAACACCAGCCGCCATGTTTCTACAAAACGACAGACTGATGGCGAGTGTCTCGCACTGCACGCAAGCCGCATGGTTACAGAACTAACGACGAAATGGCACGAAATCGAAAAAGAAGAAATTGCTGTGTCCGTGACTCTCGCATTACTGGCAAGCTTTGATAACCGTGTACAGCGTTTGAGTTTCACTTCAAATGTTCGAGCCAGAGGCGATCTACAGTCCAAATTAAAAGCGTTCACTTTTAATAAAAGGAAAAGTGACTTTGTGGAGCATCAATCTGAAATTTATCCAAAACGCCAAAAGCAATCTTCGATAGAGTGTCATTTTTGTGGAAAATTAGGCCACAAAATGTTTGCAATGTTTGCAAATGACAAAGAGCGACATGTCAGACACGATGAACATCGACGTGAAAAATCAATTGTAACTTGCTACAAGTGCGGAGACAGGGGACACATATCTACCCAATGTACAAAGAAGGAAACGGATAGGAACAAGACGTTCAACCGGGAAAAACGAGTGGAGCAGTGCAGCGTTGCAGTACCTAAAGGAAGCATGAACCACAAAGGACACATTTTTAAAGTCACCTTTGATTCCGGAGAGGAATGCTCACTGATGAAAGAAAAGCTAAGTACTCAGTTTTCTGGTAAAAGATTCAATAATATTGTTATGTACAGGTTTTAAGTAACGTTAAGATTGATGACCATTTTATTGAGATTTTGTTTTATGTTGTAGTATGCGCATATATTGAATATCTACTGTAAACACACTGTAAGACTTTGTTGCAGTGCATTCATAAAGGCCCGGTCAAAAAACCCAAGTGGCGCGCTCACAGAAAGTGCAAGTGTCAGCATTCTGTTACACGCGCCGGCCGAACTCAAGTGCATGCATATACCCTCGCGCTCCAGCTTAAGAGAGCATAATTTAATACATATAATATATAGGTACATAGCCGTCTCTCTGCCGCCGCCTGCGAGCAGCGCAGCTACGAGACTTAGCCTTAATTAGACTTAAAGAATATTGTAAAAGAACAGAGACATTTTGATCGTTGGAGCGGCACCTTTGCTGCTCCTACTAAATAAAAAAACACAAATTGGAACCAAACTGAATAAACTTATTTCATGGCGACCGTGACAGGACCACAAGGAGCAGCGAATCGGGAAGATTAATAATACAATGAGGATACAAGGAGGATATACACAAAAAACACGTCTGAGTGAGTAGAGTGTGCGTGATGGTACGTGGAGGTCAGAAGAATAAAATTAATAAAAGAATAGCCCGCATAAAGTGGGTGCTATTTGCTCAATCAACACCGCCCGCGTGGACGACGGCGCAAAAACTTTATAATGAGCTTGAATTTTTAAAGGAAACCCTCCAAAATAGAGTACCACAAGGCACAACTCACTCAGCAACCCAAATACAAATAATAAATGAAAAACTAATAACGAAACCAAATATTCCCAAGCCACTGCCGAAACGACCACAAGTCTGCCCGACCGACTGCCCCGGACCTCTCAACTCTGCGGCATGCAATTCCGCATGCATGAAGCCGAAGACCAGTGCGAAGACCAGCACCGGTACCGCCTGAGCCCATAGGCCCAGGACAGCAGCAGCAGATATCAAGCGTGGGAGGCACGACCGCCACCTGCGCCTTCGAAGGAGCGTCAGCGTAGCCAAACCGGCGACGACCAGTTGACGTAGAAGGAAGAAAGAGAAATCAACCAAGCTGGAAGCAAAAATTTTTTTCTACCCATGCACTGCGTTGCATAATTTTTTTGATTGCACTACGATGCATATTTTTTTTCAATAATATAATATTTTGTAAAATTGAGCGGAACCTTTTCTGCCCGATTAGATGTGTAGCCCGTAAAGCTATGCAAAAAACTAGGTAGGAAGTTTGTTAATTTAAATGCGCAGTAATGCGATAAGTAAATTTTCAATAGAAGATCATAATAATTTTAATAAAACACTTTATACACATAAAATAAAAGTATATGCAAAACCCACCAAAATGACTTTGGACATAAAAACAGTGGATTCCACTGCCAATGTCATCAACAAGGTAGAATCTAGCAACATCAATCTATATTGGGTACATATACTCTTGATAATCATTGTTGTTATCATGTGCGTCACTCTATTTTACAAAATTTACAAGCTGCATATTAATTGTATGAAAAAAAGGTATATGAGCC